TCCCTGTCTCCGAGCTCGCAGAAGCCAGTGGGGCTTGCTGAGAAGAAGCAGGGAGAACTAGGAGCTGGGCTGGTGGACACTCACTAACCAGGGTCCCACAGCTGCCCTGGTTCCCACCCAGGGTGGAATTCCACCCTCACAGCTGGACAACATCTTTGCATCCTCTGACCCTTCCAGGGGGAACTGAGCTCTCCACGCACCCACTTCAGACCCTGGGAGCAGAGGAGAGAACATCTTCCCTCTTAACCCAGCCATGGCCTCTGAGTAAGTCTCCAGAAGTCAGGACACTCCCAACCACCCACAACCCCACTGGCTTCCAAGTTCAAACCTGCCAGAACCCCCCAGGGTTCCCTTTCCTGCCCCATGACTCTTATACATAGGTCCCTCTGCCCTATTCTTCCCCTGTCTTTTTCCTCAGGTGCCCGGTCTCATCTTCAAGGTCACCCTACAAGGATGAGTTAGGTACCCCTCTCATGTGTTCCCACAGTGCCTGAACTTCCCCTTACTGCACCTACCACCCCATTGTAAATACTTGTTTACCTGTCAGTTCCTCCCACTGAGAGCTCTGTGAGGTTTCCATCGCATGCCCAGAACATCCACATACAGTAGGTGCTCAATAAATAATTGAAGAATGAGTGAATGAATGAATGAACAAATGAATGAGCACAGGCATCAGGTGAGAACAGTAAAAGCTCTGGAAAGAGCTGACGACAGAGGCCAGCCCGTCACCCGGGTCAGAGGATCAGCCTGTGCATTAACGCAGGTAATCTAATGTCACGCTGTCTCAACTGTGAAGTACACGGTGGTTTTTCCATGTAGACGTGCAGGGCTCCCACTCAGGGAACTCAAAGCGAAGACTGAGGTTTCAGGAAAACCTGATTGGGAGCTTCTGGAAAGCATCTCCCTCCCGCCAGTCCTTCCCTGTGACATTCCACCCATGTTTATTGAACACCGACTTCGTGCCAGGCCTTTCCCGCGTTCAGGTGGGAAAATGGGTACTACTCATAAAGACGTGAAATGTCAACTCCCCAGAGAGGCCTTCCCTGACCAACTGTCGAAATTCCTTTCACATTCACACCCTCATATTGCCCCACATGCTCACGCAACCCATTCCCCACATACACTCACACGCCAACCCCACACACATCACAAACACAAAAACCCTGCCCCACCCACACATACCGCCACATACGCACATTCACATGTTCCCACAGTGTCACACTCTACCCTCTCATGTGGCTTTATTTTCATCACGGCACTTGTTACCCCAAATGTCTGAAATATTAACGTTTTTGTCGATTGTCTACCTCACCCATAACACATAGGCTCCACGAGGGCGCTGCTGTGTCCCCAGAACCTGCAGCGCCCGGCATGGGGAGGCCCTCGATAAATACTTACTGAAATTGAGAAAGTCTAGGTCGAGCCCCCCGTCTCTGTAAGTGCAATCGCCCTTACATGGGCAGGTACCCTTACATGGGCGATTGCACTTACAGAGATGGGGGGCTCGACCTGGACTTTCGCCCTCTCTCGTCATGCAATCGCCCTTTCCCTGGAGGAAATTGTTTGGAGCTAAAGGAACTTTCTGGGGGTGGAGTCTGACTTGACGGAAGGATCCCCAAGAAAGCGATGATGTAGACAGAGGGGAGAAGAGGATGTAAGTGAAGACGCAGCATGATGGGCATGGACTTGCCGCCTTTAACATTCACCCTCCCAGCTACATGGCACTTAACACACCCCGGGACTCTTCTAAGAGCTGAGAACGAGGAGCCGAATGCTGACAGCACCTTA